CGCACAATATTTATTTTGAATTTATAACATTTTCTCATATATTTATATTTTTATTTAATTCGTCATAATTTTAAATCAAATTTGAATATATTAAAACAATCTGTAAAAATATTAAAAGAGTATAAATATATTTTGACACCGTATTCTATATAAAAAAAGCATAAATTTACCTGTATTCATTCAATATGTTTCACAGAACAATATGTTTAACAAAACGCATTTCTTGTGAGCTGTTCAGTCACATCATTTTTTCCAATAATGACAAAAGTATTTCACATCTTTCTTTAACCTATACCAAGATATTAATTAAATAACCTATATTGGAAATAGATAAAAATAATACAAAATACTTACTTGTTCAATTGTACGATCTCCTAATGTTTTACTAACCATAACAATTGAGTTGTCAGAATATTCTTTTTTAATAGTTTGTAAAAGAATCATGTCTTCTTGCCGCGTCCATGGTTTAACATTTACATTACCGACTACATTAATACAGTTTTTTATCTCGTCAGATGAATCAGCTTTGTTTATGCTATCATTTGATACTTCGCCTTCTTCATCTGATACAGTTTTTTCTGTTACTTCTATAACAGTATTTATGCCTGACGATTCGTCTAATTTCGCATAATCATTATGAGAATCTATGCATTCTAATTTTGTTTGTTGTTTATCGATTTTTTTTTCTCTTTTACTTTTACACTGTGTTATACGCACTTTTTTTGTGGCAACATCCATTCGATCCGCACTGCCCAACCTCTTTAAACCTTTTTTCTGATCTGCTGTTTTTGATGGAGATTTTATATTTCTTTTAGATTTCACTATTACCTTACCGGTCTCCTCATTATCTTTAATCGGTGAACTTTTTGACACACAAAGTTTCTGATATTGTTCATCAGAATTAGGTTCATTCTTCGATGATTTTCTCCGTTGTCTGGATGGAATTGAAGGAACAAATTTATCTGTCGTTTTTAAAGATACACGAGCAATATTTTCTAATTTCTCTTCATCAGCACCAGGAAAAATAATTTTTGCAGGTCTTAAACCTTCAGACGTTTGAAGATAGATTTTTCCATTGAGAAACTATTAAAATAATTTTTGTTGTCTTATTTATTCCAATATACAGAAAAAAAACATACTAAAATGTAACATAAATTATTTACCCTTGTTCCGCAAGACACACAATGTTCAGAAATAGTTTTACAAATAGAATCATCCCCATTATGACAATTGCATCTACAATTTTCCCCACCATAAGGATCTTCTTGAGATCCTGATAGTGGCAGTTCGATATTTTCATATAATTCAGATGCATCTTCAGTATATACTTTGTTTTTATCATGTGGCCCCACTGGGCAGGTTAAATTTTCAAACATGTGTGATGCAAATAAACTGTAAAATAATATATATAGTATGAAAAGAAAATATCTTATATCTATAATATCATCTTTTTTGTACACCTTAAAATTTTATACATATATTACCTTTCTGGTGGTTTAGCAGTGGGTAATATTTGTAAAAATAAATCCATAACTAGAGGGTGGCCCTTAAGTATAGGACCCATAGTTGCATGAACATGTTCTAGCACTGTCTGCGGATCAGACGAAAGTTGTGTGATGGCTTGCATCATTTTTGCTATTCGAGAGGGTTGCTTAGCAAAATATATTTGAGCAACATTAATAAATTCACTTATCTTTCGAAGCATTATATATTCAACTGATTTATCCATTAACGCAGCTTGATGTGGTTTTAAAAATAATAAAAAATCTGTACAAAGTTCTGGATATTCATGTAACTTTTCACATACATCCTGATATAAATGGATAGCTATGGCATCTTTATCCTTTGCAGTTTGTTCCATAATTTTTTCATTTTGCGAAGCTCCAGATATGTTAGAGAAAGACAGTTCACTTTCCATTTGATTAATACTATCTAATTTTTCGTAATAATCTAAATATAATTTTATCACAGATCGAAATATATCAGGGCTATTAGATTCTAATGTCAAATGCAACTTTTGAAGATATGATGCTGCAAATTCTACATAACAAAAGATAATAATAATATTATATTAATTTGCAAGAACATATCTTATGATAAAGAAAACATACTTGATCCTCTTTCTTCTTCATTTAGTGGATTTTCAGACTCTAAAAGCCTCTTAATATTTTCTAATTCTCTGGCTTCCTTTGCTTTTTTCCTACTAAGAGAATCTTTTTTAATAGTTGTACTGGCTAACATAAGCTCTGCTATTTCATCTTCGTTATCCTAGAATAAAAAAAGAATTCAAAATGGCGATTTTATTTCTACAATGTTCTCCCTTAACTTCATTAATCGCCTCAAATGTTTTTTGTACTTTAAATAATTCAAGCAGACCCTCAAAAGGCAAAAATATGACAATAAAATAAATGTCTATAATGTAATTTTTTGTTTGAGAATTCTACATTATTAACAGATTTTTGGAAAAGTATATTTGTGTACAATAATCTGATCTTCATATGACTTTAATAATGAGTTGTCATATTTGTTTACGAAATTAAAGAAAAATCTTAGAATTTTCATAATTTACATCCATTCTAATAAATTATTTAAAGAAGAAACTAATTCTGTATCGTTAATTAAAAATTGTATTAAGTTAATATTAAGTAGTAAATATTTTATTAAGTCAATATATTTTTATAATAATAAAAATAAAAGACACATTTCACATAGTTAAGTTAAAATAAACTTTCTGTCTCTGTATACTGTTAATTTTACTTACAAGTTTTGGCAAGGCTGGTATTTTTTCCAAATTTTTGTCCATATCATTCTTTTCCCTAGATTTTAAAGTACTGCAATTAGATGATAATCCTTTTGGTCCTAAAACTTGAGCCATTAGCTTCATATTTTGAGCGCTTCTTGTCTTTGCTAATCTAGGTGTAGTTTTTCGTAATTGTGGCAATTCTGGAACTATTCCAGAACACTTCTTAGAAAACTTAGAATGCTTTGATGTTGCTGAAATTGTAAGTATATCATTTCGATTGTTTTCATTTCCTTTATTTTTTTCCAATGACTTCTCTTTTTCCTTTAAATTTATCGTAGTTTCCAGGAATAATAATTCATTATTATTACGTTGCAAATTGTGTTCTTCATTTACTGCATTAGAATTACCAGATCCTGTATTTGACTCATTGTTGACTACTTTTGTTGAATACTGAGAATTAATGTTTTCATTTAAGTATGGAGTACTTTTTATTATCTGCTTATTTGAATTTTTCTTATTCATAGTTGCAGGTAATATTTTTGGTAACATGTTTACAATAGGATTTCGCAAGGAATGAACATTGGAAATAGATATATGTGTCTTCATAATTCCATTTATACCATTATCCTTCTTCACAAGATCATTATATGAGTTCAATATATGTTTACGCTTTAACACATCAATTTTTTGTTCTGTCTGTGTAAACAAATTAAAATTATTGTATACCTTCTGCATTAAATGTGAATAACTCATTTATTAACATTTTCAAATTTTAATAATATAAGAATTATATATGTAATTTTAAAACATAATTTAAATATAATATAAATTTAAAATTCATATTAAATAAACTTACATTGTTAAGATAATTCTGCCACTGTACAGGTAGACATTCTATTGGTTGCTCTTTTGGTGCTTTAAGATTGCATTCTAGTGTTATATAATGTATTGTTTTGGGGACACAACCCTTTTCGAAATAATACTTTACCAACAAATTATATCATTTTTATTTTATTAATAATAAAGTAGTATTGTTTTAATTTAAGCAAGATGTGTATACAAAATATAATACAATACATACCTTTATTGGATTAGCATCTTTAGCACATCTACGTTTTTTAATGTGATGATATAATGCCTGAGGTTCTCTACATGGTATTAAATATTGAATGATTAATTGTACTGCATCCATAAATTGAATATATTTACTTTTATATTTTCTTGGTTTTGTTGCAGCAAAAGGGAGAAATTGTTCAATGCCCAGTGCAATTAAACTAAAAAGAAAAGTTAATAAATTGAAGTAGAACTTAGAAATAAAATATCAACTTACAATTCTTCAGATTTTAGGTATGGACTGCGTATAAATTTATTTAATTCATTCTTGAAAGGTGATACGGGTAAAAGTTGTGGATGCATTAATGCTTTGCTTTCCATAAATAACTTCTTCAATTCTGGATGAAATTTGGGAATGTAGTTTGCATTATTTGAAGAATATATCTTCTTCACTGCATCTTCATCTATAATAGTTTTTTTAAAATCTTCAGAAAATTGATTATCCAAAAATTTTTCTTCCCAATCAGACACCAATTTTAAAGCATCAGGCAAATTTTGTGCATTAAATGCAGAATTAGGGCCATTACTTAAATACCTAATGTAAGTGCAATTAAAGATTCCGATTAATATTTATCATACATTTTTAGTTCTAAAATATTTAACAATAAACTTACTTTAAACTAATTAAATTTTGTTTACATGTTTTCGATTGAAAGTGTAAATCTGGATGCATATATGTCATAGCAAAATGTTGTACCATTAACTGAACATGTTGACAGAGTTGAACTGCCAATAACTGTCTTTGATTGTAATTCATTAATTCAGGAATTTCAGGTTCTTTATAAATAGGTAATAAATCTGTTACAGAACAATTCTAAAAGACAAAATTGTGTTTCTCTTTTAAACTATATAAATCAGTAATTGCATTTTCTCCTTACCATAGAACTATTTTCAATAGATAAATTTAAATTTTCTGGAAATCTTCTTTTTTTTGAAATTTCCTGTTCTTCTTTCGAAAATGTATCAGTAAACTCAAACAGTTCAGCAATTAAATTATTTAATTCTTTGCGAGTAACTTTCACAGCTTTATCAGCTCGCAATTCTTCTTTGTCCACTATGAATGTATATTTAAATTATTGCAATTATCTGTATAAATTGAAACCTATAATAAAAAATATACATACAAAATTCTGTTTCTTCATCTTCTAAAATATTATATTCTGGATCTGCTTCTGGATCATCTTCCATTATAGGAACTTGAGCTAATGGTTGAGTAAACTCTTTTAAAAAATTATCCCAATCTTCGTCAACTTCACAATCCCAATCGTACATATCAGTTGTTATATCTGGTGGTATAAATGCTTGTTCAATATGTTCCAAAGGTGTTTCACTCAAACAAAGTTTTGAACGTGTTCTTTGGCCAATACTTTCCTCTTCTGTTGGTACGTGAGGAATACTGAAAAATGTTATTTAAAATTAATTCAAGTAATTTGATTATTATTTATGAATGTTGTATAAATTGTATTACATTGGAATTTTAAAAATGCCTTCTGGATCATATTGAATATTTGGTGATTTGGGTTGTTCAATTGGAGTTGCATCATGATTATTTGCTGATGTTGAGAATTGTAAATCGACATCATTATTTGTTGAATTTTCTACTTCCCTTTCATCGTCACTTTGTTTATCTTGTTCTGGATTATATTCTTCGTCAGAAGAATCTTCGGGCAGTTCTTCTTCAATTAATACTTGCATTTCTGATGTAGTCTTTTTTATTGGCGTAATTGGCCATGGTATATTAACTTGTGCCGCTGCTAATTCTCTGCATAAAAATATTCTATTTTAAGTTACTTATTCTAGAAAGTTATAAAACGTATAAAATGTATTTCATGTATCATACTTGGCCTTAGCTCTTGTTAGTTTAGGTTCGAAAAGTATGTCATCCTCTGTGTCCTGAAGACGATTTTTAACCATTGCCATTACATGTTCGTTAGTAATAACATGTTTTAGGATATTTTTTACATTTGTAGCTGTCAAGTTAGTTTTCGCTGCTTTAGCATCAAGTTGCCTTTCAATTTCTTCTTCCATTTCATTAATAACTGAAGAAGATTCTTCCACGGCATCTCTTTTGTGTCTGCTAGAGGGTTCATAATTATCAACTTCGGAAACATCAATTTGTAAGTCTGCAGTTTCTGAATCGGAGGATACATCACTGTTCACATCATCAAAATCGAATTTAAATGAAAATGATAGGTTACACTTTTTTTTGGTATCATTTAAAGAAACATAAGAGGGAACAGGGTTAGTTACGTCCGTAATAACACTTTGCACTGGAAATTCCTCCCTATAAAACAATTAAATAATATAAATAAATGGAATATACTATAAAATAGTCAACAATCGGTATGTTCACTTACATTTTTTCTGTTACATCAACTTCGTTTTTACATATTCTATTAATATATTAAAGAGTTTTTTCATTATTTAAAATTCACATATCTTTTTAATGTATTTAGAATATTATACCTATAAAAAAATAGAATATATAGTAAGCATATTCGTAAATATTACACTGACAAGTAATTTATCGACTGACAGGTTATAAGTATGCATTATTATAATATATAGGTTATAAATAAACATTAGTAATAAATACTATCTACTACTTGGTTAAACAAGTCACTAATTTATGCATTATATTACACTTTATGGTATCCATTTAATATTCACTTTCTCTTTGTCGACATAATTTTTCACTACGATTTACAATCTTACCTTTAATACATTAAAAACTACCAACTGAATACAATAATAACACAAAGAAACAAATGTTTAGAGAGATTAATATCAGCTAATAACTGATTTAGAAATGAATGAGTTATTATCCACTAATCAATCGTTCGATCAAAACATTAAAAACTAATCGTCTACAGTCTTTATCAATGAATATATGTATTTACAAACAGTCACACTCATTTTTCAACTTTAAAATTAAGTTGTACAAAAAATTCATTTATTATGTAAAGTATTTTAATATTTCAAAAGTATCGTTATAAATAATTTCAAATTGTTTTTTAAAATCATACACGAAAAACATGAATATGTTAATAAATTATTTATTACTTATAGAACTATGAAGTATTTAA